TCATAGGTTACACCCTGTCAAAACACAACACAATGTTTTGTAACACATAATTTAATACACAAAGCAATGCACGTTTTGTTCCTCGAAGTCAGTCTAGATCAGCAAAAACATGACTCACTCGAACAATCAAATCTGTTCATTGATACATTAGGCATATTTTTCAGCATACAACTGACCTTGCCAACAATCATAGGCGTCTGTTTGATGTCACCTTCTCCTTTATACTCTAATTCGATTATTCTTCCTTTGTGACGGTCTATGTGACGGGCACATCTATTAACAGCGGCATGTAATGGGTACTCTTTCGCCAGAGTATCTTCATCTGAGATCACGTTCAACTGTTACGAAACACACATATTTAAGTATCACATTCACTGTAATGGTAATGATTCTGTAATGAAGTTTATTAATATTTATGTGCATCTGCAATATGTACAATATGTAGCCTTACCTGAATACATGTATCTTTGAAGACGTCTTGTACATATTCTTCAACTTTTTTGGGTGCCATACGCTCGGGATCAGATCCACCAATATCACGGTAGACAATCCTGTCGTGAAATTCACCATTTTATCTTAAATATCCGTTTAAAGGGGTGAACACAACCAAGTTTGTCAATCAGTTGTAATAATTATCTGACATGTCACCAGACTAGTGCTAACATTACCTGCCACTTTCAATTGCTGAAGCCTGATGTACGATTTTCTTCCCAACGTCCCCATCTTCTGACCATACACCTATCTTATCAGCTTTGCTGGCTTTACTCGGTACATCTTCTCTAAGTTCCAATGGCTGACCGGAGAAACATATATTAATCACCATTTCATGTTTTGAGTATTGCATTTTGTTACGAAGAATAATCATCCAGTGGACTGATTTATGAATACGATTGCCTATTTGAACTTTTGGTTCGAATGATATTTTGGTGATGTTCGGATGCGGAAAATTAACATGGACTTACCACGTATACTGCACTCAGAGCTCCTAGTACGGACACCAGTACTGCCTGGTCATAATTCGAATTTGGTGGGCACACGAGCAATGGAGATTTACACCCCGCTTTCAAAGCCCTAAAAGGTTGACATTAATTAATTACTTAAATAGTTTTCTGGCTTAATCTTCCAATTCCTCATCGTTCAATCATGATTGTTTCAGTATTTGCATAAAAATAGATAACTTTTAACAATGAAATGATACATTGTGTTTTCTAGGTATACTATGGCCGAATGCTGGACCAAACGTACCTTTTAAGGCCAGCACAAGCAGCTTCACCAAATCTTCTGACATCGTCATAATCTCTATTCAAAGGTCCCGTGGGTGCGAATATCAGTCTAGTGATCGCATGATCGACCAATTTCATTAAAATTACATCTTTTTCAACTGCACTGTCAATCTGTTAAACAGATACAAACTGTGAAATATGTTACATAACAAAACAATGTTCAAAATTTAGAGAATAGCTTCATATTACCTGCATCAATTCCTGAAGTGGCGTTTTTAGAAATCCCAGACTAGACGGAATATTGGCAACTGTGTCTATTACTAACACAATTCCGTCATATGACGCATCATCGCAGTTGGTCGTGGCAACCACGTCACACGTTAACGGTCTAAAAAAACGGATAAATGCATATGTTATTTTACGTTTACCGTGTACAGCTTACCTATATACAACACATAGATTTATTTGACGGAATAGACCAAAGTCTGAAATGGAATTCGTGACAAGTACAAATATTTCGGGTATATTATTGGCTACATTGTTAGCACTTCTTTGGTCACATCTGCAGATGACAATCACATTGTTTATTTAATTCCGGTATCATTCTGGACTCCCAACGAGAAAAGTTTTTCATTGTCTGTTCCCAAGTCGACACTTTTGTTAAATGGGGGTAATCAGAGTGGATACTATTCCTCGCAATCAATGATTCATGTTACAAAAATGTTGCTGCAGTGCTAGGTGTGAAAATCAAGCACGCAGACGACCCAAGAAACGAATTGGCAGTACCAATACCATTCAATGATGACTATATAGGTACAAACGCCTAGATACGAAATATCATTTTATTTCAGCCCGGATAATGTGGACCTTTACGTGTAGCTATTTCCACTTAGTAGCAGATCATTGGCAGACTGGGAAACTACGACGTTCCTTAGCTACCATTGTAGAATATTAAAGCGGGGGGTGTCGTCACCTGCGCATGCGCCAGACGGCCATAGCGTGTCATTGTTTACAAACAATAGTCTACCCATGAGTCTTTGCGTTTTTAATGTGTGTTGTTATTGTCGTCTGGAACTCAATTCCTGTGCGTGTGCAGGTGACGCCCTCCCGCTTAAGGGTCGCGCGGGGTTAACATGGTCATTTATCTTATTTCAAGGTGTAATAATGATCGTAATAAATGTAGAAGACATATTTAGACCAGAACCTGCAGTGCAAGTATCCAGGGTGTTATGGTGGCCCAAGCCACCCACTCGAACGCAACTAAGTAATACATAGACTTCTTGTTCCATGTGACTAAAATAACTGTGTTACTTGGAAGCTAGAGTCAAATGTTGCCAAATGTCACATATATCTAATTTATATAGAAAGGTTGAACAGAGGACATACTTATTCAATACGCCAGTCAATACATGGCATGGTTCCAGGTGCAAATGTTCCCAAACAAATGTCAGCAGGTAATACTTTCTTTCATTCAATCGTCAACAGAACGACTTGCATCAACATTTTTATTTCTTGTAGCCAAATCTTATTGCTGTTTTTATAGTTGTTATTTTCCCATTTACTGTGAAATTTAGAACCACGCCTTCTTCACCGTGACTGTTTGCAATAACTTAATTTATACATATATTCAGTGTAAAAACCGGATATCGCTGTGCACGTGCGCAACATTGCCTAGATCACTACAGTTGTATACCCCCTCCACCTGATTGTTCTCCTTCAATAATATTTAGTTAATAGGGTTATGCGATAGGTCATGTCACAGACTAAATCATGGTTTATTATAAATTGTTTTGACCATGGACCATCTTTTTAGGGTCCATAGTTTGAAATTTGTTATTGAGTTTATGCCTAATTAATGAGTTATTGCCAAGTTCTCTACCTTTCTGAGATCTTACAGTAGTTATTACAATTTCATTTCCTCTAATTCTAGGCAACTACGTTATCATTGAGTAATTATGACGTCATAATATATGCAGTCGTAATGGCATGAATATAGAGCCCATTATTGCCTTAAATAGTACCATATTTAAACAAAATTTGTAAATAGAATAATGCTCAATGTAACATTCGAATAATGAAAAACAACGCAATCGACAACAATCTGTTTATGTTATTGGATGAAAGCACGCATATACAGAAGTCGAGACATAAGACTGGTTTACGTCTTAGCAATTCATGGAAATGGTGCGTTACCACGTACATTGGCTGAATATACTTTCACTTTCACTGAGAGCGTTGGATTGCAAATAATCTAAGACGTAAACGTGTTGTTATGTGGCACAGCTAAACTGTACAATCGTGCAACGAATTTAGAGCCTGATCAACGAGCTGTCATGAATTTGTTTTCGCGTATCTGTTAAACGACTTAATTAGCTGATTATTAGCGAATTGCTGTGTTATGTCTGTCATCGTTTAGGCCTATTTGAAGTTTTGGACGGAACTTGGCTCAGTGATTTGGAACTAATTACCAGATAACCGTCGCGATTCTGACAGTTGGTATCCATAGTTATTAATGTAGTGAACGATTAATCAAAAGATATGACGTATTCAGTGCTTAGTGTGATTGGCTTTATGATTGAAGGTTACGCCCTAGAGTCTTTTTACTGTTTTGTAATTGGTTAGAGTTTTGAAAATGAATAAAGAGAGTTTGAGTCGGTCTTGGCAAGTACTCTACAATAGACGAGTCGAGTCCAGTCCTGGAGAGCCTTGGGGCGAGCCTTGACGCAGTCTAAGAGAGTCTTGGGTCAGCCTTGCGAGAGTCTTGGGGATTTTTTTCCCCAGAGCGCTGTGTCTTATAGAGTGCTCGATTGACCGACTAAGACGAGAGCTGAAACGTATTCCGTTGTGTGTGTCTTATTTGACTGTAAAGCTTAACTGACTTCCCCGATCCCGTACCTCAAGGGGACGAGATAGAGAGACGAGACGAGATTTCCCCCTGACAAGTGTGGAGAACCCCCATAGAGAAGAATTTCCCCCGTGATAGAGCCTTAAGGTAATAGAATTGTCTGATGTTCACGAAACAGTGGTTACGTCATCACCCGACGTTCCAAAGACATTGACGAAGATGAAAAGAGCATGACAGAATTGTAATAATTTACCAGACGATCGTTTTGCCGATTTATCCTAGCGAAAGAATTAATGATTTTCATAAATAATGGAATTGTTTATGCTGAAATTTAATTAATAATTCATCGAAATAATGTTATTCTA